GGGCACAGACAGGTGTGGTGATGGATAGGGGGGCACAGGTGTGGTGCTGGATAGGGGGGCACAGACAGGTGTGGTGATGGATAGGGGGGCACAGACAGGTGTGGTGATGGATAGGGGGGCACAGACAGGCATGCTGGGGTTACAGGGGCACCCGTGGGATTCGGGGGAGCACCCGCAGGGGATTTGGGAATTCCAAGCAGCAGAGCCTGGCATGGGCGGGGCAGGAGGGAGCCCCCTGACCCTCCTCTGCCTCTCCAGGTGTTGCAGGACATGGGTTTGCCCACCGGGGTGGAAGGCAAAGACTCCGGGAAGGGTGACGAGTCGGCGGAGGAGACGGAGCAGAAGCCGGTGGTCGTCGCTCCTCCGCCCGTTGTCGAAACGGTGTCGACGCCCACGGCGGCCTCGCCCCCGGCGGATCAGACCCCTGAGGTGAGCACAGCGAGGGGGGACACGACCTGGGGGTGGGGGACACGACCAGGGGGTGGGGGACACAGCCTGGGGGTGCCTGTTGGTCCTCTGGGTCTCGGCCGTGGATAAAACCCCAAGGCCGAGGCGGTTTCGCGGCGTCGCTTCCCAGAGGACGTGCCAGGAGAAACGGCTCCACGGGTGCACTGGGGGTTTTTTTTCTGGGGGGTTCATCCTCCCTTCCTTCCCCTCTGGCAGAACGTGAAGCAGCAGGGACCAATCCTGACGAAGCACGGGAAGAACCCGGTGATGGAGCTGAACGAGAAGCGGCGCGGGCTGAAGTACGAGCTGATCTCGGAGACGGGCGGCAGCCACGACAAGCGCTTCGTCATGGAGGTGAGGGGAGGCCCCTCCTTGGGCTCCAGCCCCTTCCCCGGGTGGGGAAAGACCCCTTGAAGCTCGGGGACGGCGTCACCGGGCTCGGGGCCTCACCTGGTGGTTGGGTCCCCCCCGTGCAAGGTGGAGGTGGACGGGCAGAAGTTCCAGGGCGCCGGCTCCAACAAGAAGGTGGCCAAGGCCTACGCGGCGCTGGCCGCGCTGGAGAAGCTGTTCCCGGACGCTCCCGTGGCCATCGAGCAGAACAAGAAGAAAAGAGCCCCCGTGCCAGCCAGGGGGGGCCCCAAATTCCCAGTCAAAGTGAGTAAAATAGCCAGTCCCACAGCACTGGGGGGGGTCAGGGTGTCTCTGGGGTCTGACCCCTTTGTGGGGCGGGGGCTCAGGGTGGGGGTACAGACAGCCGGGGAAAGGCGGATCTCAGGGCTGGGAAGCGCAGACCCCATCAGGATTTAGGGCAGACGGGATTTCGGGGTTGGGGGGGCTCCCGAATTCCCAGTCCCACCCCTGCGGCTCATGGTTTCCCACGTTCCGGGGGGTGGTTTTTTTTTTTTGGGAGGCTCTGGGTGACGCCCCTGTCCCATCTCTCTCTCTCTCTCTCTTTCTCTCTGTGCCCTCAGCAGCACAACCCGGGGTTCGGCATGGGGGGCCCCATGCACAACGAGGCCCCCCCGCCCCCCAACATGCGCGGCCGCGGCCGGGGCGGGAACATCCGGGGCCGAGGGAGAGGCCGGGGCGGCTTCGGCGGCAACCACGGCGGCTACATGAACGCAGGTGAGGGCCAGCACGGGGCCTGGGGGGCCAGAGACCCCCAGGGGGGGCCAGAGACCCCCAGGGGATAGAGCTTAACCCCCTAGGGCATCCTGTCTGCAGCACCTGGGGGGGCCAGAGACCCCCAGGGGATGGAGCTTCCCCCCCTAGGGCATCCTGTCTGCAGCATCTGGGGGGGCCAGAGACCCCCGGGGGATGGAGCTTCCCCCCTAGGGCATCCTGTCTGCAGCATCTGGGGGGGCCAGCACATCCCAGATGGGAATGATCCTCCCCTGTGGCTCTGTGTCCACAGCACGTCCCAAATGGGAATGATCCACAGCACATCCCAAATGGGAATGATCCCCCCTGTGGCACTGTGTCCACAGCACATCCCAAATGGGAATGAATCCCCCACTCTGGCACTGTGTCCACAGCACCTGGATGGGCCAGAGCCCCCCAAAATAGGGGGATGGATCCCCCACTCTGGCTCTGTGTCCACAGCAGATCCCAAATGGGAATGGTCCCCACTCTGGCACTGTGTCCACAGCACCGGGATGGGCCAGAGCCCCCCAAAATAGGGGGATTGATCCCCCCCTGTGGCAGCACCGGGATGGGCCAGAGCCCCCCAAAATAGGGGGATGGATCCCCCACTCTGGCACTGTGTCCACAGCACCAGGATGGGCCAGAGCCCCCCAAAATAGGGGGATTGATCCCCACTCTGGCTCTGTGTCCACAGCACATCCCAAATGGGAATGATCCACAGCACATCCCAAATGGGAATGAATCCCCCACTCTGGCACTGTGTCCAGAGTACCGGGATGGGCCGGAGCCCCCCAAAATAGGGGGATGGATCCCCCACTCCGGCTCTGTGTCCACAGCACCGGGATGGGCCGGAGCCCCCCAAAACAGGGGGATGGATCCCCCACTCTGACTCTGTCCACAGCACCGGGATGGGCCGGAGCCCCCCAAAATAGGGGGATGGATCCCCATTCTGGCTCTGTGTCCACAGCACGTCCCAAATGGGAATGATCCACAGCACATCCCAAACGGGAATGATCCACAGCAGATCCCAAATGGGAATGAATCCCCCACCCACTCTGGCTCTGTGTCCACAGCACCTGGATGGGCCAGAGCCCCCCAAAATAGGGGGATTGATCCCCCCCTGTGGCAGCACCGGGATGGGCCAGAGCCCCCCAAAATAGGGGGATGGATCCCCCACTCTGGCTCTGTGTCCACAGCACATCCCAAATGGGAATGATCCACAGCACATCCCAAATGGGAATGAATCCCCCACTCTGGCTCTGTGTCCACAGCACCTGGATGGGCCAGAGCCCCCCAAAATAAGGGGATGGATCCCCCACTCTGGCACTGTGTCCACAGCACATCCCAAATGGGAATGATCCACAGCAGATCCCAAATGGGAATGAATCCCCCCCTGTGGCACTGTGTCCACAGCACCGGGATGGGCCACAGCCCCCCAGAATAGGGGGATTGATCCCCCCCTGTGGCAGCACCGGGATGGGCCAGAGCCCCCCAAAATAGGGGGATGGATCCCCCACTCCGGCTCTGTGTCCACAGCACATCCCAAATGGGAATGATCCACAGCACATCCCAAATGGGAATGGATCCCCCTGTGGCACTGTGTCCACAGCACCGGGATGAGCCAGAGCCCCCCATAATAGGGGGATTGATCCCCCCCTGTGGAAGCACTGGGATGGGCCAGAGCCCCCCAAAATAGGGGGATGGATCCCCCACTCTGGCTCTGTGTCCACAGCACCAGGATGGGCCAGAGCCCCCCAAAATAGGGGGATTGATCCCCCACTCTGGCTCTGTGTCTACAGAACCTGGATGAGCCGGAGCCCCCCAAAATAGGGGGATGGATCCCCCACTCTGGCTCTGTGTCCACAGCACGTCCCAAATGGGAATGATCCACAGCACATCCCAAACGGGAATGATCCACAGCAGATCCCAAATGGGAATGAATCCCCCACCCACTCTGGCTCTGTGTCCACAGCACCTGGATGGGCCAGAGCCCCCCAAAATAGGGGGATGGATCCCCCCCTGTGGCAGCACCGGGATGGGCCAGAGCCCCCCAAAACAGGGGGATGGATCCCCCACTCTGGCTCTGTCCACAGCACCGGGATGGGCCGGAGCCCCCCCAGTCCCCCCATTTGGGCAGGATCCCCACTCGTGACGAGACAGGGAATCAAGGGGAGGTTCAGGGCACCGAGTCCCTCTTTATTTACCCCCCCCCTCCCCGTTCTGTGCCGCTGCAGGGGCCGGGTACGGCAGCTACGGCTACGGAGGGAATTCCGCCACCGCCGGCTACAGTAAGTGCCCTCCCCCAGAGCCCCCCAGAGCCCCCCAGAGCCCACACCGGGCACCCCTTTCACGCTCCTCTGCTTCCCCACCCCGTGGAGCAACGGGGAACCCCCCTCTGTGGATTTTACCCCCCCTGAAATCCCCTCTCTGGGAGGAGATTGGGGGTGACAGGAGCAGAGGATCCTAAAACCGCCATCAGCAGCCGGCGCTGCTCCTGATCCCTCTGCTCTGCCTGCCCCTGCTGCCCGTGGCTTTTCCACAGGCTACCCCTTCCTGGAGCCATCCTTGCACCACCCCACCCCCCCCAAAAAACAAAAAAATCCTTTATTTTTTTGGGTTTTTTTTTTAAGGCAAACCGAAGCGCTTTAATCGGCTTTGCTTCAACGGCAGGTGTTGCACAGAAGCTTTTTTTTTTTGGGCCTTTAAATCAATCCCAGGGGTTTGGCTGAGGGCTCCTCTGGACCTTGGGGAGACTTTTCCGCACGGATCTGGTCCGGCCTGGGCTTTTGAGTGCATGGAATTCCCTGTTTTTTTTTTCCTTGGGATGTTTGGATTTGTGGAATCTGCGTGCTTAAAGCGGGTCCTTTGGAAGGGGCTGGAGTCACCAAGGAGTTGCCCCATCCCGAGCCTGGGATTAGGGAAGCATCCTGGCATTAGGGGGGCAGTGTTGGGTGCCATGGAAAATCCATGGATTTGCTGGTTTCCATGGAAACGGGCTGTCCCAAAAGCCACATCCCGACCCCCACCCGTCACCCCCGAGGTGCTGAAACCCCCCCTGGAGAACGAAATATCCCCCAAACAGAGGGAATTTGGGAATTGTCCGGGTCCTCCACCCCCCCCGGTGGTTTTGGGTTAAAAATTTGGCCTTTTTGCCATC